TAGGGAGCATAATATGCCTGTGCTAGTGAGTACAGAATTTGTTCGTGCCTCACCATTTGGTTTTACAAAAATGGCTCTGAAAGTTGCAGCGCAAAATGAAGAAGAAAATATGATGGAAGTTCAGCAGAATGAGTCAGTGCCAGGAAATGTACAGCTTGATCCTGAAGAGTGCGTGCAGTTGGAGCAGCAACACAGGCATAGTTTCAACGATAATATGGTTAGTGGCAATTGTTTTAATTATTTTCACAGGCATTCCTTGAACACCTCCTACCCCATGGTTTGTTAATTTGTTCTCAGAGCAAAGAAGGCTGTCATATTTCAGGCAGACAGGACTGCCTTAAAATTGTTTCTGTGCACTTTCGAAAACCGTCCAAATGAGCGATCGGCTTTCAGAATAAACACAGTGATTCACGGGATTTTCTTGCATGTAACACTTTCTTTATTTGTTAAAACGGCATCCCTCCACCTTTTTTTTTTTTTTTATAAAAAAGGAAACATTTTGCATGAGAATTTGTCTCGTTAACAAATAATGTAGAGTAGAGCACTTTTTTAAGAACATCTTTGCAGATTATATTAGTGAGTTCCATCATTATGTGCTAAAGTTTCAGATCTTACAATTTGGTATTGCTTCTTCCCTGATATAGGAGATTTCTCCTTCATAATTGTTTTTATTAGCCAAAATCCCATCTTTAACATGAAAGTTGGCAGTAGTAGAATCGCGCGCGATTAGCATCAGTTTACTCGACCGTAAATGTGTTTTATATGAGTAAGACCGAAAAAATCACCTCCTGTATGAGACGATAAAAAATATCAATCCCATATGCTTTTGCGATCTGCTCTTCTGTGAATCCCACTCTACATTAGCTGCCGTTGAACTTGTCGAACTTGTCGAACTTTCCAGAATCTGGTAGCTGTCAGCGTAGCAAATGGCGCACCGCACCGGTCTTCTTCGAATGTGGAAGTGGAGCCTGCAGTTGATTTTGGCTCGAGTACTTTGCTGGACAATGATATCCTCGATTCTTCGCTTATTTCTGGCACGCATATGGCGGATAGCAAGTTTTATGGCATTGGTCACACGTTCTCTTTATCGCATTCTATGGAAGACGTTTCAACTCAAGGCGGAGTACCTGCTTTGCCACCGGAAAACCTACTCGGTACGGAGATGAGTCCTTCAAGGATACTCGTACCATCCGATTTATTTGGCTCCAGTATCCTACTCGACAATTCTTTCGGTGAACAATTCCCAACAGAAAGTATAATAACTACACCATCAAACAGCGCGCAGCATTACAGCAGTTCATTATATAACAGTACAATTTGTCCAGAATTGAGCGATTTCAAGGAAACCTCGGTTCCTGGAAATTACTCATCTCTCGTTGCAAACAGTAATCCAGCGGTTACGTTACCCGACAGCCCCGGTTTCGTGCGTAATAAAATACATAATGTGCTGGATTTGGAGACAAGAAATGCAACGTTAGCGTTGACAAGTGTGATGGAGTCATCATCTTCGATCTGCAGTCTTAATGATTGTATCACTCCATTTTTCTTAGAACCTCATGACCCAGCTATAGCTGGTTCTGCTGATTACAATATTTCGCTGTAATAAGAGGGTGAATAATGGTTTTATCACATCGTAAGTCAAGGGTCTGAAACATCCAAGTAGTTCTTCTACAGTTCATTTATTACCCTTCCTGTGCTAGCTTTGATTCGTTTGGTAGC